AAATCTTTTTCGTGTTATTTGTCTTTGTTTAGTTATTATTTTCCTCTTTAGTGTTTGTCGTTTTGTGCGAATGTATCCAACTGTTTGTGTATGAGGTGTGATTACAAGGTCGTATTTTTTGTTATCTATTTCACAATTGTGTAAAACGATTGTTTGTTTATTTCCTAGGTTTTTAAATGACATAAGGTTTAGGATGACGGATGCAAAAGGTTGTTAAATGGTTTCTATTTTCTTAAACTGTTAGTTCTTACGATTTTTTGGTTAGCTTAACCTGGGTCTGTTTGTTCAGGGTTGGAGAGAAAAGTATATCGATTCCGAAGAATGATTTTTACTTTCTCGTGACTAGTATAAGCTAAGGTGTTAACTTACTTAATCTTACTTAGGGGTAGTGATTGTGTTCAAGGGTTGGAGAATAGTAAATCGATCCACAAGGTTCAGGTATAATTAGAACGCGAGTAGTTCGTTAGATACTATTTTAAACTTACTAAGTCTAAGATTTATCCTGGGTCTGGTAAGAGGGGGGGTCAAGTGAAGGATGAATAACCGAAGTTCTTCACTGTTTATCCTAATTTGAATGATTAGTTTTGTGTAAAAATTTCTATTAGTCCTGGGTTTTTAGAAAGGGTTGGGTAGTGAATCGACGTTTGAGGTCGTTAGACACTATTTAAGTGGGTGGGGGAGAACAAAGTTGTTCTGTTTGATCCAAGGATAAGCCTTTATGATCAAATTTAAAATTTAATTAAGTAGAAAATGATTTAAGATCCAAGGATAAGCCTTGATGATCTGATTTTAAATTAAGTGACTTTAAGTTTTAATAAAGTTTTAAATTTGTGTAAAGGAAAGATTTAGTGTTTTATGATGTTAGTGGGTTTATGATTGCTGTTATGTTTTAGATGATGGAGCTGGGACAACAGGATGATTTATGATTACTAACCATTTATTGTCATGCTACTAATTTTTATTTTTATTTTCCAATAAATATTTTTCAAACATGTTTTGTTAGGAAAACGATCTAAGATCTTTTTATCAATCGTTATTGTATAATATTAATTTTGTTTAGCGCCTGAAATGATTTTGAAGAGTAACTTCAAGGTTTTATGTTTGCAAATGGAAATCTAAATTCATTGCAAGTAGTATTCGAAATATAAAAGTTTGTTCTGGCTTTTGCCGAACTATCATATAACTATACGGCAAGTTTCTACTTTGTCGTATGTCGTCTTTGGTTCGAGGTCTTCTTCCAATTCCGGGTAGTTCTGTTATGGTTCGGAATATTGGCTCTGATCTATTGAGTCGGAGAGACATTTCAATTAAATTATTGTCGTATAACATTTTGTAAATGTTTTTGTCTAATTTCTAATCTATTTTTGGTTAATTCTAATCTAGTAAGGTCTTGTTCGAGACTTATGGTCGCACCAGATGAGTTAGGACTGGAGTGTATAACTCATAGAGTAATTTCGGATAGGGTACACCGTCTGCTCGTCACGCTATCTTATTTTCGGCCGGATAGATTCGTGCAACTTCTTAGTCTAATACCGATCCTAATCTTACTCTTATACTATCTAGTCTCAGGTTGTTTAACTAGTCTCTGCTAGGCTCAATAGATCTAGGGTATACTGGTTTATTGCGGCTGCTGAAGTGCTCGGGAGAGTCCAACTAATTTCTAAGTTAAATTCAAATCTCTCTGGTGCTGAAATTACAAGTAACTTCAGCACTTACAAATAAGTGGGTTGTTAGTTAGATGGATCATGATTGGTTAATATTAAATACTTTACATTGGTAAAACATTTAATTTATCCAATCATAAAATGTAGTTTAGATCAGGTTCCAAAATAGCAGACAAGTTGCAACCATGGACAGTTTTTTCAACAAGTTTCATTCAAACTCCTCGCTTTATTTGATTGCTAATTCAAGGTCTAGCATTTAAATTAGGCGGTGTAGCGCAAAGTTTTCGTCCATGCTTGGGATAAAACAAGTCAATAATATGATTCTAGTCGGAGAAAAAAATAACACAAGCAGACTTTATCTGCTCAGTCATTGGGTTTTCGGAAGGCTGGTTAAAATTTCTTTAAATACTTTTTTGCAAATTTTTGAAGTATTTTCTGCTCAAAAATGACCTTTTATAATTTTCAACAATACAACTGACTGCGTTCTATTGTTGCCGCTCAAACTACTGCCGTTTTGCTCTTTTGTATACATCTACCATCTATCAATAAGTTTAGATGAAAACTCTACGACCAAAAGGACCAACATTCAAACTGTTTACTTCTGTACGCAGAATTTTTGTTATGCTTCTGATGATAAGGCATCGTTTTTTATCAATTTTCGTTTTTATTCCTACAGTTTTTTGAACTTGTTAGCTAAAAAATTTCGAAGGATTTTTTTCTATAAATTGAAAAGTTTCGTTGTCTTGAGCTCACTTTTAATAAAGTTATTCACCTGTGACTTTTTTATTAAAGTTAAAGGGCTTAAAGCTTGCCAGTTTGGCCAAGTTGGAACAATTAACACACAATATCTTTAGGCGCTTTAAACGCGTAAGCGGAGATTCAATCCCTCAATGAAATCGTTCCAAATTGATTGAAACAGGCTATTTGTCTTAAATTATTTATAACTAGGAGCAAAATCTATCAATTTGTACGTCTGGGGCGTGGGGGATGCTTTGAAAAAGAAACTCAAAATTTGTGTATTTTTTTTCGAAAAAATAATCCTTTTTTCTACAGTGATAGATAGACCTTAAAAGACAGTCGGAAAGTTCAGGGGTTCAACTTGATACAAGCAGCCTTGTTTCTGTTTTAGATTCGTAAATCCAGAGGCTGTTAAAAATAAATTCTTAAAACTTTTTCTAATTCTAGAGTTTTGCTTACGAGTCAAATTTAGCATTCAGTTTGTTCAAAAAGTGTGCTGAAGAAAAGTTAGTGTATCTTTTATAGTTTGACTCTTTTCAAGGCATGCCCATTAAAAAAATAGAAAGTTCCAGTTTCACTCGTAAAATTACAAAAAAAAAATGTTTGAAAAATGTCATACTGCAAATACTTGTACGAATTCAAAAATCTGTTCACGTGTTGACTCTGATACGCTTTCTGTTACGTCAAAAGCAAAGATGAACTAAAAAAGAACAAGACTGCTCTTATCAGTGCGAAGCTATTCCTTTTCAATTCGATGGAGCGGTAATAACAAGAAAAAAACTAGAAGTAAAAAATTAAAATGGCTTTTTTTCAATCCCCCCTCTTTGAATTTTAGTTTTGAAAAGCTTATTGAACGTTGTCATAATGCAACAAAATTTGGCATGGTGAACAAATTGACAAATTTGAACAGACTTGTTCTTCATATTTTCATTTTAACATCACGCATTTAGCCGTAATAACCGTCGATATTTTGAAAGGGGGTAGTAAAAAGAGCCAATAAAAAAAACTGTGATCAACACTCCACACGCCATATTAAGTACAAAATGACAGAATTTGCTCCTAGTAACAAAACATTTATGGCAAATAAGCTTCCTTCAACCAATTAGAACAATTTCTATGACGGATTAAATCTCTGCTTATGCGTTAATAGCACAAAATATATCGCGCGTTAATTGTCCCAAATTAGCCAAAAATAGCAAATTTTAAACCCGCATAATTTATAAAAAAAATGATCGAAGGTAAAATTTCTTTTTAAATTTGAGCTCAGAAGAACAATAATTTTTGATTGATACCGAAAAAAGTTTCGTCAAATATGGCTAGTTAAAAAAATCAAAAGCCACACGAGAACAAATACTTCGTTACTTTTGTAACAAAAGTCGGAATGATAACCTTTTTTGAAATGCAAAACTTAAACAATTCTGGCATTAATAACTTGATTTTTGATTTGTGTTAGGACATCCATTATTTACTCAGCCAAAATTTAATTTAAGTATGTTAAAAATTTTCCAGCAACTTGCACGCAAGTAATTATCTAAGTTCCGTTTATTTTTGATCTTCTAACTTGCTTGTCGAATTTCATAAGGCCCGTCTTAAAAAAATTGTTCCAAACTGAACTCAGGCTTTCTTTTTGGACTACCTATAATTTTTCTACAGGCGATATAAAACTCCTTATACAAAGCTTTCAGCAAAATTAAGCTTTTTCACATGCGGTCTGTATTTAGACAACCGCCTATTTATACTGGTCAGTAAGCAGACACTTGCTATGTTAACCAATCAGAATCGAGATTAGAAAGCAAACTTACCAAATAAATAATTAATCATTATCATTTCTTCCTAGACCCGATTCTGATTGGTTAATTGGTTGTTTGTCCACCTATTGACGAATATGAATACGCGGTTGTCTACATACTGCTGCGTAACCTTCCTTGTCGCGATTCTGATTGGTTAACTTAGTATTTGTCTGCTCACTGACAAGTATGAATACGCGGTTGTCTACATACTGCTACGTAACCACATCATACGAAACCTTTTCAGAAAAATTTCCCGAATATGAGCTATAAAAGAAACGGGCTAATTAATGCTCATAATTGATTCCTTTATTTATCGAAATTGGAAAAATGCTTTCGACTAATATAGAAGCGAGATGTTTGACCAGAATCTGATTTCTTTTGATCGGACTACATTTAGAAAACATCTTTGAACACTTTTAACATTTGCGACGATATTCAATTCTTTTCTCGCTTCAAATATACAATCAAATTTTTACGCGCACTTGCAACAATTGTTTTGAATTTTAAAATGCAAGCTGCAAGCGGTACGTTTTCACCTGGTTATCTGCTAAAATTTAATGTTTTAGAATACTTTGATTGGAGAGCAGCAATCAAAATACTTGAAAAAAGCAATCGACCTAATTTGGATCAATTTTGCGTGCAAAAGCAAGCAAGTCAGACCAAATATGTGTTTGAAGGTTGTCTGAAAAATCAAAATTGCATGCAAAACTGTCAAAATGGTGAAGTTGCTCTTTTTAATTAATTTTAACCGTCCGAACTTTTGCAGTTCTCTCTGTGAAACAAATCATTTTTTGCACCAACGCAAATTTGCCATTAGATTTCCGACTGCGCGCAAAACATGTTGACCAATTTGCAGCAGTTTTTCGTGGTTTTTCTGCTCACCGTCGCGGAAGTTTCATCTGAAATGTCACCGGGAGGACATCGCGAACATCTGAAAAAAGCGACCAAGTTAGCCTACGAGAGAGCTTCCCAGCGGGTGAAGGGGAAGAAGTTTGTGGTCCCATCAGATGCGAATGGAGCGACAGAAGTTTCTACTTTGAACGGAGTGGAAAGACTACACTATTATGAGAACTACAACAACCGCGTTTCTCTCAAACGAAATGGTATGAGTACTTCTCCCTTTTTATTCAATCAGAGTGTGGATGTGACCACCTGCCGCAAAGCTGGAGAGATTTTTTGAAAGATAATTGAACTTGGTTCACCTCAAGTTTGACTCCAGGTATTATAATCATCTCCAGTGAGGTGGAGGCCGGTTTGAATATGGAACTCAGTCTAATTGGTTTCTAGGGAACGTAGGGGCTTCTTGGATAGGTGAGGGGAGGGATTTCAACTCTTTTGAGGGGGGAAGGGCCACTTGATATCAACCCCTGAGGAAAAATAGCATTAAATTTTTCAATTAATTTATGAATAAATCCATACACAGACTGACTACATTGGATAATATTGGTTATGACCTTGGGTTTGTGATTTGTGTTCACAGGTGGGTGGGGTGCTGGTGGCGGGGGGCGTGGCCACAATTGTGGGAGTAACCAGTTCCCCTGTGCCAATGGGGACTGTATCCCCATGCAGTGGAGGTGTGACCTCTCCACCCAGTGTCCAGATGGCTCAGACGAGGTCAACTGCGACTGCACTATCGATGAGTTCAAGGTCAAATTTAATATATAAAAGTAACCTAAATTTACAAATTAACCTAGGAATTTATAGATTTTATGGAAGGTTTTTCTGCCTGTGCTTTCTTCTAGAGAATCGGGATATTTTAAGCACATGGAGCCTATGAAAGTTGTCGCTGAAATCCGTAAAATTTGTGCAGAATTCCAGAAAACTTCGTGTATGCCTAAATCATAAATGTGATGATAAAACACGAAAAATCAAAAAGTGCTAAATTTGGATTTTGGAAGCAAGCAATAATGTAGATTCAATGGTCAATGCAGGTTTTAGAGACATATTAGCAGGCGTGTTTGTTCTGGTTTCCATCGGCAAACGTTTTTTTCCAGCCAAATGCAGCGAAATCTACTAAACTTGACTGGTTTCTGCAGTTAATCATAAATCTTAAGCAAATGACTTTTTTCTTTGCTATTACTAATGCTTGCATTTTTGGAAGAGCATAATTGTTCCATTTTTTTGAGTTATTTTTAGCAAGTCCGAAGCCTTAACCGTGGTAAAAGCGACCCGAACCCCCTTCTCTTTCAGAATCATTTGTCAGAAGAGATGTGTTCTGATTATCTTAAATTCAGCTGTGCAGTGGGATGTGTTGTGTTTAGTGTGCGAATGGGAAGTGTATCCTGTCGATCAGTCTGTGTGACAATGCCAATGACTGTGGGGACATGTCGGATGAGATCAGCTGCTACAAGTGTCCCAATGGACAGTACACCTGTGGCAATGGACGATGTATAGACGAGACTCATGTGAGTAAAGATCAATAGTGTAAATATAAAGAAGTTAAAGGCTTTGAAAGTAGTCCCGGGTTGATCAAAATTTTTGGGTTCAAAACTCGCAAAGCCATTGTCTGTAGAACAATTGTTAGACAGCTCAAAATTCCTTCTCGTCTTAAATATTTATCAGATGCGGACCTAGAAAATTTGTGAACAACTTGAAAATCAACTGTTACGACGCAAGAGTTTTTTGCTATTGACGCAAGTAAAAATAGCCGTTGAGTTTAAATCCGAGATCTGAACATAACGAAGCTATTAAGTGTCGCGTCGTTGAAAGTACAGTTTTTTGTGTTAAACAGAAGTGTGACCACAACAACGACTGTTACGACTGGAGTGACGAGCTGTTCTGTGACGCGTGTGGGTACAACCAGTACCAGTGTCCAGTCACAGACAACTGCATCCCCTCCGAATGGCTGTGTGACGGCAAAGTGGACTGTCAGGGGGGAGGCATCTTCAACGACGAGACTGGCTGTGTCTGCGCCCGGGAGAAGTTCGCATGTGCCAACGAGAACTGCATCCGATTCGAACGGGTTCGAAAATTCTGTAGACAAACTCTTTTCGGATGGTAATGCACCCGTTAGTTAAGAGCAAAGCAACTTAATCCAACTGTACACCACCCATAATCTTTTTTAATTTCAAAATTCGGAATACCAACGAAGACCCTACTAAGGGCTTCGGAAGCACTAGTTGTAAAGAGTTCTTAACTGTTCATACCTTAAATTCGAACGATTAATTTATTCATCTACGCTGTTATCCGCTGCTAAGTCTTATCAGATGGGCTTCGTTTCGTATAGTTTTTGCTAGATTCGATTTTGGTGGTTCGTAGTTCTTTCTGTTGTGTAGATGTGGTCTAAATAGGTATTTTGTTTAAATTAACGTCTCAAAGTCAGTAAAAGCAACGTCATCAGTGTACAGGTGTGTGACGGGGACAACCACTGTGGGGACGACAGCGACGAGACATTCTGCTGGTGCGGCCCCCACCACTTCACATGCACCAATGGCAGATGCATCCCCAAGGCACTGGAGTGCAACAGCAGAAACGACTGCGGCGACTTCTCAGACGAGATGCGATGCTTCTGCGAAGACAGTGAAGTATGTTGTTGCACTGCAGATAGTGTGTTACTTGGAGTCGAATTGCAGAAATTATGACAAGATTATACGGTTGCATCTTATGCACAAATCATATTTTTATTTCATATTACGCCGTTTTATTTTGCGCTCAGTGGTGACAAGATGGTAACAATTTTTTAGTTCATTCGCATTGGCTTTGATGAATGTAGCTGTCTTTCAAAAACAACCAAAACTGAGTCTCAATTTTTTCAAATTCTCAAGAAAGCGCCACAAACTAATTTTTCTTTGATAAAATATATTTTTAAAGCTTGAAGACTGATTTGCCTATGTAAGGGTGCACTGAAAATCGAACTTTTTAAATGCCGATCGCATTACGACTGAAACTGCTTCAAATTGATATATCCCTCCAACCCATCCCAATGATTAATTGTAGCACCCTAAAGTGGAAACGTGTCATTGTAGGATAGGTCAGAATGTCATGTTTTGCAATATGACATCAGATATCATTTTTTAAAATCAATAGCTTGGAAAGGATTTAGATTTAAATATTTTATTACTCAATTACTCAATACTATTATTTTATTACTCAATACTACTTAAATATAATCAATAACTATTGAGTTGACTAATGAGCTACATTATGAATGACGGGACTCAGTTATTCATATGTTGTCTTCCATATGTGACTTGTGTTGGTGGTTTCAGTTCCAGTGCACTAACGGGGCCTGTGTGGACTGGAGCAGCCGGTGTGACCGGGTGAACGACTGCGGGGACTTCTCTGACGAGGTGGACTGCTCCTGCTCCTTCGGCAAGTGGAGGTGTGAGGACTTGAGTGGCTGTGTCCTCAATGCCAAAATATGTGATGGACAGCCAGACTGCGCAGATGGCAGGTAGGAGGAGCACTCCAAAGAATCATCGTCCTTTTTTAGTTTTTGAAGAAATTTTGGCCATTACTGAACTGCACATATGCATTGGTGGTATCAATCGAACGAAGTTTTTTGAATTAAAATGTATGCTGTTTTTCAAAATAAAAGAATAAAAATTGCTATCGCGCCTCGAAGAAAACCGACTTATTTTGGCATGAACGTTCTCGGGCTCTACTCATTAAACAGGGAAAAGATAAATTCAATTCTAATCTTATTAGATTAAAGTTGGAACTTTTTTTGCTTCATAATTAAAAAAAACAACGCATGGTTTTTTATTAGTGATGAATTCCGCTGTTCGTGTTCGATCCACAAATTCACCTGCACCAATGGCTTCTGCATCCCCGAGTCACAGCAGTGCAACGGGTACGATGACTGCGGAGACAGATCGGACGAGCTCATGTGTTTCTGTGACGCAGACCAGTTCCAGTGCACCAACGGGGATTGCATTGGTGAGTCAGCGGACAATTCTCTAGAAATGCTCACTCGCGACTTGATCAGTTATCTAAAAAAAGCGAAAAGTCAACCGTTTTGAGTTTTTGATCGCCCAACCCCTCGCCCTCCCTTGAAAGACCAGTTTCACAACTTAGAGTGCTGTTTTTTTTTTAATTAAGACAAGGAGTGATATATTTGGTGCGTTGAAATTTTTGTTTCATTGAAAATATCAAAATCTATTTGTGACTCAAAAGTTGTAATGAAATCTAACTCAGCTCCACGTAAAGTCTTTGTGTTCATATTCGTACAGTCATGGTTGCATGATTTAAATACTACAGTACAAATACCTCCTTTAAGTATGACGTGAGTGTGATTGCTTTAAGGGAAGTACTTGACATGCAACAACTACCCAGACTGTGGGGACTCCTCGGACGAGGCCAACTGTGGCTGCCAATCGGGGGTGGAGTTCACTTGTGACAATGGAGGATGTATCCCATTGGGTGTGTACCTGTACTTCTTGCTCCTATAATATCTGATGATGAAGACTGTACTTGAAGTTAATTAAACTGTGCTAGAATGCAGACGTCGTCATAGAATTGTATTGAATCTTCCAGGTCTTTATAGGTCAAAAAACCGATTTTCCGTTATTTTCCAAAAATTAGCCCCTTATTTGCTATCAATTTTCTGCGCCATGCGTATAAAAGTAGGCCTAACTGCCCTCACCTCAAAATTACAATGTTTTAGCGCCTAAGGTGGCCATTAAAAAACCTAAGGGCTCAATCAGTCAAAAATTGTGAATTAGTACCCAAGTAGGGACCATTTGGATTGCGAGGTGGTCGAATACCCCATGAGGGGAGCGTACACTTTTCCTAATCCCTCCCCTCTGTGTGTGTGTGAAACCTTAGGTGACTTGTGTGATGGCAAGAGTCAGTGTGGGGACGGGAGTGATGAGGCCATCTGTGGCTGTACTGTGCACGAGTACGAGTGCCTCAACGGGCAGTGTGCGCCACACTATGCCAGGTATTGTAATTGAGATATAACAAGTCCATTTCACCTACCTGGTTAAATCTTTTGCCATGTATTATTATTAGGTTATAAGTCCAATTTAGTTCTTGATGAAGAGCCTTTAAACCCAAGAGTGAAAATTTGGAAGTCATTTAACAACAATTAAACGCTTCTTGTTGAACGGTGTTATCCGTTGATCAGCTTCTTTAACGCATGAGTTCATTCGTCTTTATTTTGATTCTAAAGTCACTATTTTCACATCTCCATTGATTTATGAAATTCAACACCAAAAGGAAAGTCAACAGAACAAGAGTAGTTATCTTATCATATTAAAGGCACTTAACATAGTGGTAAAGCGAGGTAAAACGTTCACTTCGAGACCTACAGATCGTGTAATCGATTCCCTGCCAAGGCAATGAGAGTGTGTGAGGACCAGCTCTCACTTAACCTCTTGCTTCAGGTCTACCATAGACTGCACAACTTCGGTGGTACCACGTGAAAATTCTAGACGCAAAAAAACGTCCTCGAGTCGCATAAGAAGAGCATCGCTCCCCAAGATAACTCAGTCTTGAATGTGTCCCGGGTTGAGTTGAGAAAAAATTATCGCTAATTCAGAGATGGCAGCGGTTACCATCTTTGGTTCAGTCTATGATCAGGGTCACTTTATTCATGATCAGGGTTAAATCATCGCAGAATTAGCGCTTAATTTTTAGGTCTGATTCAGACATAAGTCATCCGTGAATCAGGGATGGATTTTCACTGCAATAACTCTGAAAACCTACGATTTAGGGATAACTCATTCCTGGAAAATTCCTGGCTAGCCATGCTAACTTTTGAGTATAATTCAGTCAAATTGAGGAAAAATATCAAGCATATCACAACAGAAGCAGCAACGAGGATATCCAGGTGAAAATATGTACGACGTTTCTGGATGCTAGAAGTTCTTTAATCCAGAAATAAGAGAAACATACTTTTAAGACAGGCTGAATAGCTTTTCATAGATCCTCTGCAAATCGCAGAAACCACAATTAGTTAATTGTTCTCCTAGAATTTCTATCATCTTTCTATTCACAGATGTAATGGTGCGCGAGAATGTGCCGATGGATCTGACGAGTTCAGCTGTGGCAATTCAGGAGGAGGTGGGGGAGGGGGAGCTAGTGGGTCGTGCTACTCGTGGGAGTGGCAGTGTTCGAATGGGAGACAGTGCATCCAGTCTACACAGAGGCATGTTCACACATCCTTCACATATTTAAATTTGTGGCGTTGTTTGAATCATTTTCATTCAAGCATTGATGTACACATAATTTCTCAGAAGTGCACATGTAGTAATATAATATTACACAAAGAAGAAGTTCAGAAATTTTAGTGTAATAATAACTTGTTTTCAGGCAGAAAAATTACCAAACGACATCAAAACAATGTCGTTATTTTTAACAATATTTTTAACACAATTTCAGTTGGTGGTTTTGTGTTGTCCAGGTGCAACGGAGGTCGCGACTGTCTGGATGGGTCGGATGAGGCTGGGTGTGGAGGGGTGAATCCGGGGGGAGTGGTGAACTACAAGTGCACCCAGCTGGAGTTTGGATGTGAGAGTGAACTCAAGTGCATTCCCCTGTCCAGACGATGCGACGGATATGACGTAAGACCTCATTAGCCTCGGTCGTGTCAACATTTTCTTTTTCGGATCTACTTAACAATTGCCCTCCCTTTGGTACCTACTTAAGAATTGCCACCCATATTAATAAAAGCTGTCAATTAGCACTGAGCTTTCTATTGAGAATTAGAGTTTTGCTGCATTCTGATTGGTCAAAAATGCGTTATATTAATCTACTTAACAATTGCACACCCCCTTTCTTAAAAGGGGGGGATAATTGTTAAGTAGATCCTCTTTTTCTTTTCGGACCGACTTATGTTTCCTGGTTGCAGTAAAATTGACCGGGTTAACCTCTATAGACCGAAAATGCTGATCATGCAATTCTATTAAATAAATCTATGAAAAAATGCTGGTCATACAAATTTCGTACATTTTGCTAAAATGGCGTCATCGAATTTCCAAATAACGTTTTTCTTATTTCGGCATGAAAATCGGTGTCATGAATAAAAAAATATAACCGAAACAATTCTAATCATACAATTTCATACGTGCAACATGCGACAAAAAGTTTCATGAAATCTTTTCCGTGTTACTTAACATTTGCAGTGTTTCGTCACGAATATCGATTTAATGCGACAACTCATATATACCGAAAAAATTTCGTATTTGCGGTAGTTTTGCCTCTATCAAAACACTAAGAACATCCTTAAAATATATATACCTTTGGAAGGACCACGATCAAGAATCAAAGTTCTAAATAAATTTTAAAGATCAAAGTTCTAAATTATTTCCCATTTCACTATTTTAGAACCTGAAACACTCCTAGCTGAAAAACAACTGTTTCCTATATTTTGTTTTTCTAATTTTAACACAATGACAGGATTGTCTTCTGGGCGAAGATGAGAGCTCTAGACTGTGTGTGGGAAATCTGGCAGTGCCCCCCTTTGCCCAGACCAGACAGTGTAGCCAGTACGAAGTCAGATGCAGCAGGCAAGTTACGAGTGAACTAATGGAGATATTTTCAAGAACAGACGAGAGCAGAATAGAATCTCTTAAATTAATCCACTTATAATTAGCCCAAACTTAGCACGCTGCACAGAAACTTAGCATGCTGCGCAGAATCTTGGCAGCTCAAACTCCATGCGATATATCTGTTCATTTATCGAGTTTTGAATTCAATCCATCAACAAACAACTTTCGAAAGTTATAAATGGAGGGTTCAAGTTTTCTGTAACTTTAGGTGGCAGTGTGTGTACAATTCTAAGAAGTGTGACGGAGTAGCAGACTGTTCGAATGGCAGAGACGAGGAGAACTGCTTCCCCAACAACAATAACAACCAAGGGGGAGGAGGGGTGATGTGCTATGCTCCCAACCACTCTTGTGACAGCAGCACTAACTGTGTCCCGGAAAGGAAGGTACGTAAAGATGTCTTTTTGAAAAAAGAAATTTTGAATGGTTTTTACATCGAAGATTTTTGCTTCTCTTTGATACAAAAAAAGTTCTGAGTAAAAACCAAAAATGTACGCTATAAACAAAACCTCACAAAAATTATGGATTTTAGTTAAATCAATTGTTTTAAAATCTGTTAAAAAATGTTGACTTTGTTCGATTTGAAAAAGCACTTTTTGGAATGTAATATTGTAATACGCTTAAGAAGTGCTAATGTAAAGTTTTTTTTGAGACGCAAGATCGTTTTTTAAAAATCAATCATCGCGTTTTTGTGGTGCAGAAGTGCAATGGCTTCTTTGACTGTGCCGACCACTCTGACGAGCACAACTGTGGCTCCTCGGCCAACCTCTGTGCCCGCAACCAGTTCCACTGCTACCTCACATCCCCCTCGTCCACTGTGGGAGGGTGGGGAAATATGGGGACAAGCAGCGGGGCCTCAAACAGGGAGTGTGTGCCCAGCTCTTACCAGTGTGATGGGTGGTCTGACTGTCCTGGCGGCGAAGATGAACAAAATGTGCGTCAATTTGAAATCATACTCGATATTGCCTCGAATTTTTAGAAGCTGCATGTTGTAACTGAGATCTTCATAGTTTTTGTTTGTTATTTGTTAAGTAAGCTTCACTTTTAAATGTGGTCTTCGATATCAGATTTTTGAAAAATTGATGCACACCACTTTTTACACAGAAATCGATGAAAGCAACCGAGCCTCAAAATTTTCGAATAACTAGTTCCTCCTTAAAAAATAAATATGCAGTGCCAACATTTTTTATAGAGCATCAAGTTTCTCGCGTTCTTCAAGTCGATGAAAAAAGTTTTTCATGAACCCTAATTCAGCTCCGCTTTAAATTAAATGAGCCTATTCTTGTTCCTCTTAAGTTGAACAATGAGTGTACCGAGTTCAAATTTTAATTGACTATAATCGATTTGTTTTCCTTTTGTGGACACTGACAAGGAAACTTCATAATCAGTTATAATCGATTTTTATTCATGGAACTCCAATGCGGGCAAGTATCGAACTTCTGTAAGGTTCCGTGTCCTTTTATCTAGTGTGACGATGACTCCCTGTTCCCCATCCCTGATCCCCCCTCGGACCACGGGGCCACCGCCTGCTACTTCCGCTGCTGGGACGGTAGGTGCATGCCCAAGAGCAGCAGATGCAACCGACTGAGGGAGTGTGCGGAGGGGGAGGACGAGAGGAACTGCCAATCATACCACAATCCACAGTACACCAGTTGTCAGTCGGGCCAGCATAGGTAAATTGGCACTGTCACTCTTCGTTTGAACGCCCAGGGTTACAGAAAAAAATATGATTTTGATCATTTTGCAATTCAGAATTTCTTGCAGATCTTCAAGCTTAACGTACGTCGTGCTGCCAAATAGAGTAATGAAAAGTTGCGAAAATTTTTTAAATGCACGATTGTTATTTTTGAAAGAGTTTCACTCTTTGAGCAATAAAAAAATACGGAAACACTTTTGCCAAGACTGAACTTTTTTTTCAATTATTGTTCTTTTATTCACCTTTAAGTCGCTTGTGAGCTTCTCTAAACAGCGGCTGTCGATGTTCAAAACAGAACTACTTAAATTTAATGTTCCAACTGTATGTTTTTTTTTGTGTGTGTATTTCAGGTGTGAGGATGGAAACTGCATCGATGAGTCACTCATGTGCAACCGGAGGAAAGACTGTTGTGTGAGGGAGCCATGCAGCGACTACAGTGACGAGACAGACGCCAGGTGTGACGCTGTATTCGGAATCGGAGGATGACTCACGTCAAGTAAACAATTACCAAAAATCGAGAACGACAAATGAATATCAGCAGAAAATCAACGTCGGGGAGAAACAGATAGGAACAGAAACTGCAGGAACCTTAGCTGAACTGCAGGAACCGTAGCTGAAGTTCTATAATTATTATGTCATATAAGGTCAATTGAGGTTGAATTCGTGAATAAATTTGAATTTACATAAATTATGATAAAAAATATATAATTTCTAATGGTCACCACTTGCTTTTATCGGCTGACAGACAATAGCGTATGGACCGTAAGAGGGGTTATCAAGGTGTCATTGAACGTTGAAGGATGCTTTAATTGTTGTCAGACAAGTTTTTGACGCCAATTCTAGAAACGTTTATATCAAGAACAACTTCATGACAGAGCTACGAAATAGTTTATTTAGTATGGAAAATGTCGATATACATCATTTTAAACAATCGTACTGAAAATCATAACACAGAATGCCACACAAGGACACTACAATCTTTGATTGATCGCTGAAAATGAAAAATTTGAATTGAAACTAACAATTATTGTGAACGTTTTTTTGAAACTGTTTCGTCCTTTTGAAAAAGCATTAATAACACTGCAAGTGTAAACATCTATATACAATTGTAATTGTAATAAAGACAGCGGTGGATTTGTGACTTTCATTTAGGGGCGTTATTTCAAAAAAAATCGTAAACTTTGTCCGACTAAATTGATGGTTCACTATAAAATTAGTATTTAATCGCGGCGAAATCGCAGCGAAATTTATCAGACAGCCGAAAAAGGATATCTGAACTTAATAAGGGGAAAATTTTTTGGGGCGGCAGGTGGTCAGAACCCTGCGGCGGTGGAGGGCAGTGTCCGCGACCCTAAATCCACTTATGAATTAAAACAAAAAAAATGAAAAAATTTGTAACTATTTTTGTAACCCGAGCTCAAATCGAGAGATTTAATAAATCGACTTTTTTTAAAGTTACAACGAAATAGAAGAGCTGCAGATTGTGAGTGGGAAAGTTCTGATAGGTATCAAAAAGAGGACTGAAAAATTCTGCACGTAATCAAAGAGCAGTTTAACCTAATACTGTTATCGTATCAAATTGAACTTTTTATAAATTTCCGGTCGCCTTTTTGCTTGCTGTTTGCTTAAGTTTTTCGCTATTGTTACGGGTAATAAAAATTAGTTTCAAGTTGCTTCAATAGTATATCTTAAACAGCTGCGGTTAAACTCAACAGAATACTACTAAAAGCCTAGAGTTCACACGGTGTTTCATTTTGCGATTAGAGTGTGGGATAATTTATTCTTCGCGACATTACCAGCGCGCGATTTGCTCACTCAATTTGACATCTGCCATTTTGATGGAACGTTTCTAGTGGCAGCAGACGTTTTCTAAGTTTAAACATCAGAATGGATGCTCAAAATTACACTCAACCACTTTGTGTCCTCCCTCATGCGCAAGAAAAATCAAGACAAGGCTGAGGACACTACCGGATCATGATAGAAGTGTTAATATGTTTTTTTTGGAACTAGTACAGACAACATGGTGCAACGCATAAAAAATGTGTTTTAGGAAATCAGACTGTCAGAGGAAATCTATAAAAAGAGAAAATTTTTTGAAGACACTTATAATGATGCCGGTCAAAGATGCAGACCCACATAAAAAATTACCTTGCTTCATGAAAACACAGAAAGGCAGCTTCAAAAATTTCCCATCCCGCTTCAAGCTCATTGCACATTTTAAAGACACAAAAATCCAAAAACGCGACCGAGAATATCGATATAAAAAAATCATTACGATATGAAAACGAGAAAACAAAACTGATGCAAGGGAATACTATGCGGCACCGTGCCATGGTACGACACCAGCACAAACGCTAAATGTAACACCTATTTGTGTCTTGCGCAAGAACATTAATTTCCACTCCAGTTCACCAGGAAGTTTCAGCCAATCACAAAACAACAATCAATGTTATAAATGCGGAAACCAATTGTCGCCAAATTATGATGACAACAATGACGAACCGGACCGGACAGGGAAAAACAACAAGAACAACAAGAAGATAAAATTGACCGAGTGGCTTTTGCAGAATACACGTCAGCCAAGGGTTGGGAAACAAGAGACAACCAATATTATGTATTAGCAATAGCGAAGTGTTCGAGGAAAAGAACGCTGCAAAAAATAAAGAGGAGCACCTGAAAGGACACTGGGTAAAACTAAAGACATCAGGGGTTTCAATTACCGTTATAGCAGATTCCGGAAGCCCAATGTCATTCCTCAACGAACAAATGGCCGAGAAACTACTCCAATTGGTGAAAAGAGCCAGTTGGAAACAAATTCCAAAAGAGGACAATAAGCAGCAAATAATCTCGCCTCTTAAAACGGAGTCTACATAGAACCACGAGGTAGAATTATTTTGCCAACCGAATCAGACGACTGGACAGTCAACTCCGCGCCAATCTGCCGAAAATAGGAATGAAACTCCTCCAAGAAAAAGCCCGAAGCCAAATGGTGCTGAATTCGAGCAAATAAAGAACTCGGACCCAGAAATATCACAATGGGTCAAAGAATAATACAAAAGGTTATGTACAGGAGTCGTACGACCAAAACATTACGTGGTGAAAACGGAAATTCTGAAAGATTTCTAAGCAGTACAACAAAAATTAAGGAGAGTCACCAACCACCGTCAAGAAAAGGTAAAGCAAGAAAAAAAATGATAGAAAAGGTCATGTTAAGAAATTGGAAAAACGCAGCTATAAGCAATTTATTAGCCCAATAGTCATTACGGTAAGAAAAAAGGATCAATCAAAAAAGCTGTCACTCGATTCAATCAAAACAGATCGACAACTACATTCATAAAAAAATAACCAAATACCATATAGAACATGTACTAGAAAATCTATCACAGGAAGTTAAAAGACAAAGGACCGGGGAAATCTTCTTCTTAACAATAGTCCTGAGATATATCTATGCGCAATTACCACTGAAAAAAAAACAAAGGAACAGTGCATTTTCAGTCAGCCGAAGTCCAAAAAGCGATTGATTTAACACTAGCCGATTGTACGAACACATTTGCATCTGTAGACGACATTTTGGTCATCACAAAAGGAAAAAAGGCGGACCGCCGGCTGGCATTAAAAAAGTGCTAGATAAACTAAACGAAGAAAATCTAGCAATCTTTGGCCAAGAATGGCACTTGGCTTGTAAACAAATAGAGTAGTTGGGTTTAACAGGCAATGAAATTGACCACTGATTCAAAAGACGGAGGTCATCGAAAACTTGAACGCTTCAAAAACCTACAAACAGTTTTAAAAATTTAACCTTTTTTACATTTTATGTACTCATCTTGGCAGCGGAGACCGCCCCTCAAGACCGCCACTAAAAACCAGTGCAAACACAACTTCAAATGAATGGAAGAAACCAAAAAAAAAAAACGTATAAGAAAATAATCAAAAATCCTTGAAATTGACATTTTGACCAAAACTAAGAATCACAAAGAGTATGTGACGCATCGATACCAGGCCTAGTGCCGGCTTTAGAATAAAATTCATCTGAGGGATGGTTGCCGATATCTTTTGCGTCGATATTTTTGAACTCACAGGAGGAAAATATTCTTTTGCTGAGTTAGAGTTTTTAGGGGTTGTTTGAGTAATCGAACAATTTAAATTTAAATATTACCCTAATGGCAAAGCATATACCATAGCTAAATATCATCAAGCACTTTTAAGTGCCTTGACTGCATTCAAAAAAATCAAAGATCGTCCAATCCAGGCTAACCAGATGGATCGATAAATTACTTCCCTTCAATTTCGGTATCAAACATCTGGCGGGATTAAAGATAGGATTAATTAACTATTTTAAAAAAAAAAAAAAACCAGTTAGCACGTCGCTACCGGCATCCGATTATGATGAGAGATTTGTGGTGACCAGAATTGCTGTGTTTTTTTCATAGCTGGAAGGGTTGAACTTTATAGTGCTGAATGAAATAGCCAAGACAAAAAGCGCACCACTGAAATTGAATAAAAGCCAAAAAGAGCGAGCAATAAACAAAGTGATTCATTCCTAAACGCAAAACAAGAGCAAATGCTTTTAAATTCTCAAAACTCTACAACAATTAAAACAAACAATAGCAAAATTAATCTCTGCCTCCTATTTATACCAACCAACTTTACAAACATCAAAAAGCTCGAGAAAAGTGACATTGATTGAAAGCCGAAAAATAGCGAACAATAGACAAACTGACTCCTACTTAAACGCAAAACAAAAGCAGTTGCTTTCAAATTCTCCAAATTCCACGACAACCAAAACGAAAGCTAGAACAACAAACAAAAGCAAGAGAATTCCCTGCCTTCCAATTATACAAACACACTTTACAAAAGACAAAGGCCTCATGAAAACATCAGTGCCAAGTGCATACTTAACAATCACACCATCCCAGAAGCTAATGGGTTTGACAAGCCAGGCGTAAGAGGAGCCAATCACGAAGACAAAAGTACCACATCAAATGGAAACAGTTAACCCCAAGTCAACAAAAACACCAGATGGGGACAACAAAATTGTCCCTATCAATGAATATGCCAGAATGAGAGGGGGCGCGAACCACCGAGTAAGAGAATCAGCTAGAGCAACAACAGCTAGAGTGGAAACTCAATAGCTGGATAGGAAAACAGAAAGATCTTTTACTCCGCGAGAGAGGGAATAAAACACCCAATAAATAGGTGGAGGGGAGTTTTCTCCATTCGGACAAAACACTTGGCACATTTTGAAACCCGAAACATGTGGGAGGAGCACGAAATAAAAGTTACAAACACGGACGGAACAGTGACGTAAAAAATGTGAAAAGTGGATACCGGAAATGAGAAAATAGAGAAATGGGAAAATAGGGCCCAAGTAGGAGAAAACATAAAAAGATAGTTTTCGAACTGGGAGAAACAGAAACACCAAAAAGGAAAACAACCACAACAAACCGAATAACGCTATGTGTACAAAAGCAATAGCGTTCAGACAGAAACGGGCACAAAATGCATCGAAACACAGATGGACAAAAACCTTGACTTGACCCCCATCGAACCGAAAAAAAACGTGTCACGTAGAAGCCCAGAAGAAATAGACACGGAAACAGTCTCGAAACAACGACGGCGCAGGGAACCTTGATAGAGGACGATGATACCCCATTCTAGAGGAAGAAATTCAGCAAGGCACTGGGACAGGTT